TGGTTTACTACAACCGATTCCAATTCCTATACAAACTTGGGAAGTGATCACCATGAATTTTGTGGAAAGATTGCCCCAATCTCAAAATTCAATTGTATTATGGTCATCATTGACAAATTTATCAAATATGCATATTTCTTGCCTTTTTATCATCCTTCATTGCCTTAGATATGGTTAAGGCATACTTAAGTCAAATTCGTAAACTTCATAGAACTCCAAAAGCTGTTATTTTGGATAAAGATAAACTTTTCACTAGTTTTATGTGGCAAGAATTGATGAAGCTATTAGGTACTTCTTTACAGTTTAGTATAGCCTATCACATAAAGTTAGATGGCCAGTTTGAGAGGTTGAACCAATGCCTTGAGCATTCATACTACCATAAAAATGAGTCTCTTCTAGGCTTTATATAGAGATCCACCTCCTAGATTTTTTTGGAATGCCAATAATGAAGCAATAGTATCAACTGTGGAAGACTTGCTTAAAGAACAAAAAAAATTTAAGTAAGCTACTAGTTGATCGATTAGGAAAAGCTCAATATAAGATAAAGTTTTATGCCGATAAAAACATGACTAATAGGGAGTTTCAGGTGGGGGATATGGTGCATTTGAAACTATAGCCTTACAAGCAGATCTCTCTTGCATTAAGAAAAAATTTAAAACTTTCATCAAGGTATTATGGTCTTTATCTTGTAGTTGCAACGATTGGGAAAGTAGCTTATAAGTTACAGTTACTAGAATTTTAAAAATTGCATCCTATTTTTCATGTTAACCTCTTAAAGAAAAATATCAGCACTAAAGATGTCCTTAGAATAACCCCTATTGAAGTGGGCAAGAATTTTAACCACTAGTATATCCAATTGTTGTACTTGATAAGTGAATACTAAAGAGAAATAACAAGGCTATCACTCAGCTACTAGTGGAGTGGTCTAATCTGGGTCCAAAGAATACTACATGGGAAGATTTCTTAGTTTTTAAATCTCAATTTCCACTTTTTGATCCTTAGGGGCAAGGATGCTCTCAAGGGAAGGGTAATATGATGAAGTTAAAAGCTGACAAAGATACTAGTAAGAGACTAAAAAAAACTGGCAATAAAAATCATGCAAAGGAGTCAGAATAGAGTTATTTAGTACAAGTTGTCAAGTCAATGATTAGTCGATTGTAGGAATGGTAATTATTAAAATAATAACTATCTGTATTATGGATTATAATTCATAAATTATAAACTGTAATGTATATGCATATTTTTAAAGTATGAATGGAAACTTAATTTTTTTTCTCATATCTCTTTTTTTTTTTTTTGTTTTAATCTTCTTCTTTTTGGATCTATTTTCTTTTTCTTATTTAAATTAACTCTTGATTAATTCAATATCATCATTCTTTTACATTTATGTTGCTGTGCATAGTTGAATTCCACGGACTCTACACAAAACGGATAAAGACATTCCTCGTAGACGTTTCAGCTATGAATAAATTTATAAAAAAGGGTACTTTTTTATTCAACCAATTGGTTTCCACAGAGTACTAATCCATGACCTCTATAAGCCAAAAAAAAATTCTAAAATAAAAAAATTATTATATATTATTTCGAGTCATTTCTTCTGTTTGATAGGATATTTCCAAGTCAAGTTGATAATTAATGGGAAATGACAAAAAAAAAATTCAAATGTCTGGTTAACGTGTCATATAGATATATATTAATTATATATTTACTATTTTGAATAACTGAATTCAAGTTGCATCAGAAAAACAATTATGCAGCCTCTATTGACTTTTTTTGTGATTGCGATTGTAAAAAAAATAATTTTAATTAATAAAATTAAAAATTTAATAATTTATAAATAAGTCACATCACCATTAACTTTATTGAATTTATCTGTCAAGTTACTTTTCTTTGACGTTGGAATCATTATAATTTCAAACACAAGAGGACAAAAATGAAGATGCTCATAAAATCATAAATTTTACGAATTTAGTTTGATACAAGGGGTAGGGAGTTTAGTTTACCATTTCGTAATAAAGGCCGATTTTTCCAAAATCTTTCTCGTTTACCATTTCTTTTGAAAGTTCACATTTGATCGTTTGAAAATGAGTATGAAAAAGACCGAGGATAAAGGAAAACTAAGCTGTTTAAATATATTAATTATATATTTACCATTCTTTTTTTTATGAAATAATATTCTACTTTTGACGAGTTACTATTAAAAATATTTTTTCCTTGGAAAAAAGGGGGGTGAAGACGGAATGATTTTCAATGGCAGTCGTCAGCTTCAGCAATCGATAAAAGTTATGGGCAAATTGGCAATTTTGGGTCAACCAATTACAGCATATGCGTGGGACAATTGAATGAGTCATTGAGGCTTTGTTCACGCGTTACCAGGCGTTTTCTTCTGGGTAACCTCTGGATGACGATGATTTGGCTTTTTCTCAACTCTCTATAATTTCCTTGGATTTTTATGGACGAATAAATTAATTAAGCTTAAGAGTATTGGTAGCATATATATATTTATAGTAATTTAGATACGGAAAAAAATTATATCTAATTATTAACTTAGTCTTACTTATAAAAAATAAAAAAAAAGAAAATTATCTATATCGTTGTTAAATGGCGTTTTTATATATTTACTTAGTGCTTATTTGATTGTAATTAGAAGTATTTATGGATTAAGTTGATTAAGGTTCAATCAACATTTTTAAAAACTTCTTTAAGTTTTGATTATTTAAATCCTTTTATGTTTGTTTAATTTAAATTTATTGTTAAAATGTTTTTATAATAATATTTTAATTTTTTTAAATATATTCAAAATTAAATTTAAATAAAAATAATTATTTACTAATAAATATTTTCATGTGCGAAACCAAAGTTTTAAAAAAATCCTGTTTAAAGCCCAACCGACAGACCGAATGGGTCATTCAGCTTGTGAATAGGTATAATTGTCATCTTAATTTTTTTAATAATTAAAAAATGCAATTACCTCAAAAGAAACTATGTACGTATAGTTCTATAAAAATTATGGGTAGCAAGAGATAATTTTTTAATAGAAATTACAATTAAAATAAATAATTTTAAAAATTTATATTGCAAAAAGAAAAAAAAAAACCTAATGTACAAGTCAAATAAATAAATCATCACAAAATTGGAAGAAAACTTCACACGTATTGTGAACTTGAACGTAAGACTTGGAAGTTTAGGAACATCCTCTTCACCATTGATGGAGACAAAGACGTCATTGACGGCAAGAAATAAGTCTTTTCTCTATACGTCATGAAAAAAAAAAAAAAAAAACCATTGTTCTAACATAAATATTAATTGCAAAGGCACGTGACAGTTGAAAGTGTTGAGTTTGTTGAACATCTGCTTCACAAAATTATGTTAAACTTTGATATTCCATCCTCCCATATACGGTATCTTAATTTGATTTTGCACAAAATTAAAAAAATTAAATTCAATTCTGAGTTTCTAACTTTGATTAATTATAAAGATTTTTTTTTAATTTCTCTTACTTTGAAACCGGAGAAAAAAAATAGATAATTATGGTTAAAGAGAAAAAAACCAAAATTAAAATGATTTTTCTTTGATTTTTCAAAAGATATATTATTTTGAAACATCTAAAAGTACGAAAATAAGACATATATATGCGACGGATGGCGAATATAACTTTTATTTCCATGCGCTTTCAATGTTAAAGTCTGGATTCTGAAGAATATATTGAATTCAACCAAAGAAACGTATTAGGCTCATTTTGCCTGTTCTCTCTAGCAAGCTTAAGTTTTTGTCATCCTTAGTAAAATGTTTGAAATCCTAACTACCCCTTCTAAATTTTTATTAACCAATAAGGAACAAAGTAATTTAGAATGTACTATATCATAGTAATATGTTTTTTTTTTTTTCTATAAGATGGCATTTACAAGTAAATTTCTCTCATAATCAACTAATTCTTCACTTAGTTTAACTATTATAGTCAATATATATATATATAATAAAAATAATCTACTAAAATTATTAATATTTTGAATATTTTAAAATTAAATAAAAATTTTTATTAATATAGAATAATATCTGAAGCCGAGCAAATCAAATCTAAACTTAAAAATTTTATCTAAAGCCCAATCCGGCCTTTAACATGGCGAGCTGCCTAATTCGTGAACAAGTCTAGCACTATTATGATATTTCCATATATAATTTCACTACTAACACATTAAAAAAAAAGGTTGTCCCACTGCCTAATTAGGTGGTAGAGAAAAGATGGAGAGCTGTGTCATTTTGACATGAAAAGGGTTTTCTGCATAATCCATGAACACAACTACAATGGAAAATCAACACATGAGATTGAAAGGTCTTTTTGCTAATAAATCTTTTAGAAGTTACATCGATCTTACTTTTCAACGTTAAATTTCCATTTTGAGGATAAAATTCAAATAAGGATGGGTCAGAATTTCCATTTTGTCATGTTATGCCTATACATGAAATCAATATTGTTATCCTGCATGTTGCTGTTTGTCTTAATCAAACATCGTAAATACCAAGTAAATGCCGAGTAATATGTTTTGAATTGTGAATTTTAGACCAAATATGTTATTGGTCAAAATTGGTAGTAGCTGGAAATCCATTTTAGATGGCTAAATTTTTTCAAACGTTTTTTTTTTTTTTTTATAAAATAAGTTGCAGTTTAAAATTTAAAAAAAAGATTGCAAATGTCAGAATTTGAATTTCAAAAGAGAATAATTGGATGAATCAATTGATTTAAATTTAGGTTCAATTTTTTTAAATATTGCATGAATTAATTGATTTAAATTTAGATTCAAATGTTTACATAAACAAGTAACTGAGAATCAAATGTGAAAAAACTGAAAATTGTCATATTCAAACGCCCCTAATGTCATCTTGCTCAAAAGTCCAAAACCATTTATCACTAATGTCAAATGATAATTTTTATTTTAGTGGTTGGTGATCAATCCATTCACTATAAATAGAGCCCATCCCTTTTGTTGATGCACCACAACTTCTTATCAATCAAACCCTGTCGGCATACAAGAGAAACATACAACAGCCTTACATTACACCCAAATGGCTCCAAGTTTTGATAATGGCAGCTCACTCTTCAACTTTGTTGTCCGAGATGGAAATGGCGTCAAAGGAATGGTGGACTCGGGCATATCAAAGGTGCCCGAGGCTTACATTCAACCACCGGTAGAGCAGATTGATAAGAAAAATGCAAGCAAATGTGAGATGCCACCGATTGATTTGTCGAGGCTTGTTGGACCTGACCATGATAAAGTTGCCAAGGAAATTGTTAGAGCAGCTGAGACTCTTGGCTTCTTCCAAGTTGTCAACCATGGAGTGCCTGTTGATCTACTAGAGTCACTTAAGGATACTGCACATAACTTCTTCGGCCTGCCCGCTGAAAGAAAGGCTGTTTATCGTACAGAATCTAGTCCAACTCCATTAGTGAAGTATGGTACAAGTTTTGTTCCTGCGAAAGAGAAAGCATTGGAATGGAAAGACTATATCAGCATGGTATACACCAATGATGCCGAAGTTCTTCAACATTGGCCTATAGAGTGCAGGTGAAACATTTATTCTTTTTGATCTTTTTCTTTGTTTTTTTTCGAAACAAGCCAATCGACTAGTACAATCAATTGATTTTTTTACCTTATTCTTCTTATAGGGAAGTGGCACTTGAGTATTTGAAGACATCGCTTGACATGGTGAAGAAATTGCTTGAAGTTTTGATGGAAAACCTTGGAGTCAAACTAGATGACTCAAAGATTGATTCACTTATTGGCAACAAGACCGTCAATATGAACTACTATCCAACATGTCCTAATCCAGAGCTCACAGTTGGTGTAGGGCGTCACTCTGATATGGGCACCCTCACCGTCTTGTTACAAGATGGGATTGGAGGTTTGTATGTTAAAGTTCCAGACGATGCAGATATTGATAAAAAAGGAGAATGGGTAGAGATCCCTCCTGTTCCCGGTGCTTTGGTCATCAATGTCGGCGATATGTTGCAGGTTCTAATCAAAATTTGAATAAGGGTCTTTTTTTAATGAAAAATAATCATGCAAATACAATGTTTTTAATGAATTTGTGTTTGTCTACAGATATTAAGCAATGGAAAGTACAAAAGTGCAGAGCATAGAGTTCGCACGACAAGCACAAAATCAAGGGTGTCAATACCAATATTTACAATTCCAAAACCAACGGAGAAGATTGCACCCCTACCTCAATTGGTAGAGAAAGATGGAATTGCTCGTTATAAAGAGTTTGTTCTTGCAGATTATATGAACAACTTTTTCGGAAATCCACATGATGGCAAAAAGTCCCTTGATTTTGCAAGGATTTAATTCTACTTGATGGAGAATAATTTATATGCCTAAATGTAATTTTGATTTTAGTTTATCTTTTGCTGGTTCTTAAAATATTTCACTCATGTTGCATTTTGAAATAAAAGAAAATTAATGTACACACTCCCATCACAGAAATTATCTGGTTATGGATTTTCTAATAGATTGTGTAAAATTTATCTACTTCTATAAATAAAATTCAAATTAATCATAATGTTATCTTTAGATCGTTTAGGAAGTTTGGTTTATTTTTGGGTCTTATGTTTTGGATGTATTTCAAAAAAGTTAGAGATTTATTTTGTCTCTAGCTCTTATTGTTCAACTAAACTATATATTATATACTTCCCTGGCCTTGAAAAAAATAGCATGTATTTTTTTTATTATTTTAATGTGTTTTTTTAAGACCGCTTTTAACGCAGGAAGAAACCTTCTTTCCATTTGTTTAATTTGGTTTTCAATGTTGTATATAGTGGACTCTAGACAAAAGGCATCCCCTGGACATTTCTGCTAAATTTGTATATAAAAAGCAACATTCTATAAACACATAGTCAACCATTGATTTCCAAAATTCTTTTCAACATTGATTCTTGACCGCCATATAAGAAAAAATTTGAAAAAACTGACTATATATTTTTCATGTAAATTTAATATACTCCTTACAGTACCTCAAGATCTCTAACATTTGGATAAATGGGTTTTATCCTTATCCTCTTTAAAATCAATAGTAGATATTCAACTATATATATCTGACTTTATTATAAGATTAAAAAACTTAAATTTACTTAAAAATCCTTTTTATTAAAACATATTCTCAACAGCATTTGATTCATTCATAAGAACACGAATATTTTTGATGTTCAAAATGGTATAAATGGGTTAGGAATGGTTGTAAGGAATGGAAGGGGATATGTCTTGTTAAGTGCAGTTGTCACGGATCTAAGGAAGAGTCATGAATCCCACATCGAACATAATAAGAGGGTCACTGGAGTATAAAAGGGTTCACACAATCTCCGCCTTGTGAAGCGCTTTTTGTAAGACAAAACCGTGAGGCTAGGGGAAGCCAGAGCGGACAATACCTCACAAGAGTGTAAACCGTGACGGTCAGGCTGATCCGGGACGTTGGAAGGGTGAATGCCCGGGTCCTGGAGCCACGCGGGTTCGGAGCTTAAGTCTCGACCCGTGACATAGTGACTAGGTGACTCATATTCAGAGTGCTTTATATGCTGAGATCGAAGCTATTCCGTTTGGAATATAGGTTAGGCAAGGGAATATGGTTTTGATTATGTTGTTGTGGAAAGTAATGCATCTTTAGCAGTTGAAGAGATTAGTAGGGCTAGTGTATCTTGTTGGGATGGCATAAGAATAGTTCTGGATATTTTTTAGTATAGCCTCACAATGCACAAAATTTCACTTTGTTCTTCATACTATGAGAACCGCAAATTCTTCTATTTGTAATAATGATGTTATTACTTTTAATAAAAAAATTTATTTTTGTACTTTTATGGTTTTTTTTTTTTAATTTCTATTAAATAGAAATGAGGGAGAAGATGAAAAACTTTTCAATAGTAATCGTCAGCTGGAAATAGAAGTCATTGGCAAATGGCAGTTTCGATTTCTCAGGTACTAAGCGAAATGGTAAAACTTGAATGAGCCATATCAAATCTTGCTTGAAAAGTTCAAACAAATAATAAATTTCCCTGGTAGCTTTCATTCAAGTATTGTGCTTAAAGAAATCAATCTTCTAAATAAATTAAATATTTGCAATATTCCTCATCATCCCTTAGAAAGTCTTTGATGACATGTGCTTTAGTTCAAAATTTTCACGCTTTAGATGTCAACTTAATTAATTAAGTAAGGAATATAAGATCATTTCGATTGACCAAAAAAAGGAACATAAGATCTTGTAATAATAAGTTACCCTGGTAGCTTTCATTCAAGTATTGTGCTTAAGAAATCAACCTTCTAAGTAAATTAAATATTTGCAATATTCCTCATCATCCCTTAAAAAGTCTTTGATGACATATGCTTTAGTTCAAAATTTTCACACTTTAGATGTCAAATTAATTAATTAAGTAAGGAGTATAAGATCTTTTCGATTGACCAAAAAAATGAATATAAGATCTTGTAAAAATATCGAGTTCTAATGGTTAGGATTTATTTTTTTTTTTATTTTCAAATATCTTCGATTTGAATCTTGAAATAAATGACATAACATTTTTGAATGACAGATAATTATCTTTTATTGCTTAACTCAAGAATTTTTTTTTATAAAAAAAATACAAACACGCAATTTGCGTCTTGTTATAGGTAGATGTTTTAGTTTGTAATTAATTAATTAATGTCAAGTTTGTAAAATACCTAGAAAATATATGAAGTTCACCAACCTTTCAAAAGTCATAGTAATATGCTTTGAATTGTGGACTTAGACCAAGATGTTATTGCAAGTGGAGAGTTGATCATATTTCAGTAAGGCAACAGTTTTCCTTCCATTTATGATTTGTCATCCCTAACTTGAATTTTTATTTTTAGGAATCCAAACTTTTTCAAACAAAAAATAAGGGGGGAGGGGATTGGCAAAGTGTAAAAACATGATAGGAACACAAATACATTAGGGGAAAAAAGAAACTTCAATAAAATTTTTATAGTTCCTTCCTTTTAAATTTTGTCTTTGCTAGAATTGTGTTTAAAACTTAATTACTATAGCATGTATTTGTTATTTAATTTTTAATAAAATTTAAAAATATATACATTCACACAGAGTTATTATTTTGAACCTTATAGTAGATAAATTATATAGATTTTATATGTCACACCATTACACTTAAGGCTTTTAGTCATGATTTTTTTGTGACTGAGCAATTTTGTAATAAAATATTAGGTTTATTGTGAAAAATTTTCTGTGTCACACTATTTTCATAAGTAATTGTGACGTTATTTAGTTATTATTATAATAATAATTGTGGGGGTTTCAATTTTGAAGTTAATTATGTGGCATTTAAAATTCCAATTTTATGAGATCGTTAAACATCTTGCAATGTTTGCATAATGCAAAAGGAAAAAAAATATTGTCATACTATATCATGTCTTAGCTAACTAATATTTATTAATCACTAAGTTCATGAAGAAATATGAACCATCTATGCCTGTATATTGAGCCCCTTCCCTTTGGTAGATGCACCCCTCAACTTAATTCTTACAAAGCAATTGAACATTAATCACAATTCATATTCTCGCAAAGGTGCCACAGGCTGCTTACATTCAACCACCGGAAGAGCAAATAGATAAGAAAAATGGAGTTTTTTTTCCTTAAAATAAGGTATTTAAAAAAATTTTATTCTCAAAATAGGATACTTGTATTTTTTATTTCTCAAAAAGGGTACTCTTTTGCCATTTTTTTTCTCCCCTTATCCCCGTTTTCCTTCTCCCTCAAATCGTTTTTTCTTTTTCTAAGTTGCTTCTTTATTCTTTTATAATGAATTCATGAATGAATCCGTGAATGAATTCGACTAGAGTTTACTTCATAACTAGGTAAGAAAGTGGAAAATTGCAATAGGCAACTACTGCTAATATGGCTTTTAAAATAGATCTTTACCTGGGTTTTTATGTATTTAAAAAAAAACACCATACAATATCAGAAGAAAAACATTGAAAAAGTAAAGAGATAATGAAAAGATTTAAATCTCAGCAAATATTATGGAAATAAAAAAAAAGAGAGATTTTATGGAATTGGAGGAAACCATAATTAAGATTGTATAAGCTTAAAGTCCATGTCAGTTAGCATCAAAAAAAAAAAAAAAAAACAATGCAGGAGCTATAGGGTCATCAGAGGAGAGAGAATTAAAAACGAAATTTGGTAAGCTGGGTTTCTTTGCTCTCTTGAAGATTGTTCCATTACCTGGCATAGTTTAGCGCTATTTAAAATTGCCAAAAATTGCCAAAAAAAATTAGGAATCAACTGGCGGATTAAATACATAACTGGCTTTTAAACTTTATATTTTTTTTATCATATTCGTACTTTAAAAAATTAAAAAAATTATGATTATTACATTGATATTTGAACTTTAATTTCATAACTTAGTTTACCTCAAAACTTAACTTTAATAGACAAAAATTTAGCATGTCTTAATGACCAGTTAAATGACGCTAGCTATCATTAAAATTTTAGGTCATGTAACTAAATTTCTATTGTCATAATGATTTTTTGTTTGCACGACTCAATCACTAGACCTAATGAAAAATTTTGGATTTGTCACAATCTTTTTTTAAAGTGTGATTGACCACCTAAAAATATTATATTTTAATAAAATTCTTAAAATTAATTGAGATTTAATAAAAGATATTTAGGTATGAGAAATTAGGGTTAGGTTCGAAAGTACGATTACGAGTGAGAAAGATATTAACACCTTCACATCGCCCATTTAAAGAACGATATCAATTAAACATGGATAATCCTTTAATTTTGACAATACGATTTTCATTATATTTAAATTTAATTTCTTTAAATTTATTTATGAAAAAAATATTTTTTTTGTTGTGAAGTTAGTATTACTATTATTTTCATATTATATAAATTTTTCAACGCTTTAGTAAAATTTATAGAAAATCTTTATTTAGAAAATATTTCGAGAAAATTAACCGGTCACAAAATTTTTGAAATTTCGTCATAAATTATTTTATTTGTTTACTAAAAATGATTTTAGAATTATCCTAACTCTTTCGCGAAATCTCAAAATGAAAAGGCTATTAGCACCCTCACATCACTTGTTCAAAAAATGGTACTAATTAAATATGTGTAATCATTTAATTTTGACAATATGGTTTTCATTATATTTAAATTTAATTTCCTCAAATTTATTTATGAAAAAAATATTTTTTGTTGTGAAGTTAATATTATTATTATTATTTTCATATTCTATAAATTTTCTAACGCTTTAGTAAAATTTATAGAAAATCTTTATTTAGAAAATATTTCAAAAAAATTGACCATTCACAAAATTTTCAAAATTTCATCATAAAATTTTTATTTGTTTATTAAAAATGATTCTAGAATTATCTTGACTCTTTGGCGAAATATCAAAATTTTATTAAACTAATTTTAGAATTATCTTGTCTCTTCAATGAAATTCTAA